AACTTGCTTTCGGGTCTGCGGGGAGGGGCCCCCCCCCCCCCCCCCCCCCCCCTCCGTCAACCCTTTGGCCTCGCCACTGATGAACATTTAATCAAGTAAAAGTTACAAATGATTTCCATGTTCACAATCTCTTCATCGACAAACATTTCTTCCTCACAATTTAATCTTGATTCCTGACTACCAGTAAAAACCAATATTCAATGTACACTGTAGGAAGTATTTCAACTCGATGCTGATCTAGGTCAGAGGGACTGACATCGAAACAGCGTCCAGTCGCTCGCATGGAACAATATACAGGAGACCTGTGTGCTCCAGGTCGTACACGTTAAAAATCGCTCGACAGTTGGAAATCGAAAAACAGTTTAAGCAGGTTAATACCAATGTCCTGGCAAATTTTGCATCATTGCACACGGCGTTACCCATTTCCAATAGCCCATTAAAGTGTAGAAGAGTTGGACGTAAAACTCCATTCATTTCATTTCTAAGAGTAACATAGGATGTGTAACGACTGACTGCTGATCTTTGACAGTGTTTTAATACCATCCATATATTCTTTAGTTCTTTCTAATTGATAATCTATTAATCTATCAACCTCATATTGATCTTTAAATATAGTGTTTATATTGATCTCAAGCTAGGTTCACACTCAACCATAAACCACGTTCACACTGTCAGAGAAGTTCTAGCCACTTTTAATTTTCATTTAGACTTAGTTCAATTTTCTTAGGCTTGCATTCACTGAGGCTTCGTTTACTTTTACTTTACTAAGGATCCTTTTCAATCTACCTGACAATTTTCACTACAGGAGATTCATTTGTGTTTATATTTACAAAACAAAACGTAAAAATGGCTAGGTTCAAGCGTGCTGATTGGCCAGTGAAAATATCACGTGACTTCGTGAATAATTATTATCTCGGTCTCTTACACGGAGTTTACCTGCTACAGTGAATCACGGTAGAAATATATGTATGATTGAGCTGCGGACGAGTTGTGAAGACCGTGGTTTGTTTATGTTTATCTATGTATGGATGTGAACATTGCCATATACTTCTCTTCAAAATATTTTATAATAAGGTCCACCGTCCTAGTTCAAGATTTGGCAAGTCGAGGTATATGGAAGGTCGCACTGCAATAATATACTGTACATACAATCTGGAGTGTTTATAAACGGTGTCGAGGGGTTAATGTTGACCTTTCTTTATCAACTTTCAATAGACAACCGTTATAATGTTAACCCTATTCAGACCAAGAATAATAAATGTGTTACCGAAGAATGATATTTGAATACCCGACAAAATAAACTACATTAAGAGGCAGTATTAAAAAACAATTGTTAAAAAACATTGTAAATCAAACAGATCAAGATTTTTACCATTAGTAAATGGCATTTAGTAATTGTGAGTCCGATATATAGACACAGCTTTATGAAACAACGTTTTGATATGAGGACGACGGGGGAAGCACGTCGAAACGTTGCATAAATTTTTAACCAGTGATTGTTGTTCCATAAAGCTGTGTCTATATATATAGTAATTTACTATTTAGTAATACTGGAATGATCAACTAAATAACCACATTGTTAATATTATATCAATGTAAATACATGTATTTTCAATACCGACCTCATATCATTAAGTCTTGGAATATTCTGAAGAATGTCGAGTTGACAATACCAGCACAAGGTGCCTCGGAATAATAAACAATTAGTAATGAGGCATTGCAAGCCTTTTGTTTGACCACCAAAAAGAGAATCACGTATCCTTGGGGTTTTATATCAACAACTAAATCAACAACTTCCATTCAACAAGAATTACCCTTAGTTTTGGAAGAATGATGAAGTAACGCGAGTCACACTATCCAATTGATACAGATCTAAATAAAAACTTACAACGATTAACAACTTTCACCTAGTCTGTGATATTAGCGGATGTCGTCTACCAACAACTACCTATAGTCTGTGATAATGTTAACTGTATGTTTTCGACTTTGTAGTTTGTAAGTATTTAATAAATATTGGATATTTTAGTGTTTCTAAACGTAGTATATAATAAATTCAGAAGTAGTTTAGATTAAGTCTTATTCAAGTCCATAATTAAATATCTTCCCATTCGTCCTGATGAGGCTTTATATATCTGAAACATGTGACCAAATATTAGTCATTCAAAGAAACGAATGAAACGCTACATTAGGACCAGCAAGTTAATCCGATTGTCTGTCTGTCGTACATTTCTTTAATCCAACTGATTCTTATCTAAGGGAACTAACTCATGTATAAAGTGTACAATTTAAAAGTAAATAATTCCCCGAAGTTGTACAGAATAGTATGTCTTAAAAAATATCTAAGTCCTCTCTATAGGAGTGAAAAACATGCCTTCGAAGCTGCGAGGATGGGGGGGGGGGGGGGGGGAGGTGGTGAATCGGGGCTCCCCACCCCTCTTTGGCTCCGCCACTGGTGAATTACACTGACCCTTTCATAAAACATGATGAGATTCTTGTAATAATTCACAAATAACTTGACGTAAATAGTAAATCTAACGCTTATTGAATTACTATACCACTATCTTCTCTCGATTTTACCATACTTTAAACGAGATTTTGATTAAGAGAATTGTCTTGCTAGTGTGGATTTTTATTGACTACTTAAAATTGTCTCAGTTATATCCCTTTAAAAATATCCGCACATAAAATAAATAATTATTACTTTTCAAAAAAATTAAACAAAGAGTAAATAAACCTTTAAAGTGACGGTTGAAGATTGATAACCAATTGTCACTTCAAACGAGTGTAAGAGGTAGTTTAGCAAGCATTCTTTACAAGCTTGTCTGTATAATGATATTGTGTGAACCCACTAGAAACATAAAGTAAATAAGCATGTCTCAAATTAAAACTGGACAAAATTCTCTCAAAAACAGAACAATGACAAAAGAAATTCGTTAGGATGAATAAATTCGTTGCCTTTTCTTACATTAAGCTCTTATATTTTCAGCTATTTCAGCTAAAGAAATGATACTACCACAAATTGTATTACAGAGACATCCATAGTTAACATATCTAATTATCTTAACCTTTGATACTACTACAGATAGTATTACAGAGACATCCTTAGTTAACATATCTAATTATCTTAACCTTTGATACTACCACAGATAGTATTACAGAGACATCCTTAGTTAACATATCTAGTTATCTTAACCTTTGATACTACCACAGATAGTATTACAGAGACATCCATAGTTAACATATCTAATTATCTTAACCTTTGATACTACCACAGATACTATTACAGAGACATCCTTAGTTAACATATCTAATTATCTTAACCTCTGATACTACCACAGATAGTATTACAGAGACATCCTTAGTGAACATATCTAATTATCTTAACCTTTGATACTACCACAGATAGTATTACAGAGACATCCTTAGTTAACATATCTAATTATCTTAACCTTTGATACTACCACAGATAGTATTACAGAGACATCCTTAGTTAACATATCTAGTTATCTTAACCTTTGATACTACCACAGATAGTATTACAGAGACATCCATAGTTAACATATCTAATTATCTTAACCTTTGATACTACCACAGATAGTATTACAGAGACATCCTTAGTTAACATATCTAATTATCTTAACCTCTGATACTACCACAGATAGTATTACAGAGACATCCTTAGTGAACATATCTAATTATCTTAACCTTTGATACTACCACAGATAGTATTACAGAGACATCCTTAGTTAACATATCTAATTATCTTAACCTTTGATACTACCACAGATAGTATTACAGAGACATCCTTAGTTAACATATCTAATTATCATTACAGAGACATCCTTAGTTAACATATCTAATTATCTTAACCTTTGATACTACCACAGATAGTATTACAGAGACATCCTTAGTTAACATATCTAATTATCTTAACCTTTGATACTACTACAGATAGTATTACAGAGACATCCTTAGTTAACATATCTAATTATCTTAACCTTTGATACTACTACAGATAGTATTACAGAGACATCCTTAGTTAACATATCTAATTATCTCAAGAAAATGTGAGCTGAGAAGAGAATATTATGCTGAAGTAGGATTAAACGGAGAGTATACTATCATCATTAACGTTTTCTCCATTGTTCAACAGTATTGGTTTTCTCCAGTAGAGCCCCGGTTCCCAACCTGGGGATGTGGGACTAGGGTGTCAGAAGAATAATTCACATGCTGGAAATGTGGATGAAACAAATTTTTGGGGTGTGAAAGGTCCAGGAGATTACTCCAGGGGTGTGAAGACTCAGAAAGGTTGGGAACGACTGCTGTAGAGGAGGGATTAGTGATTGTTATATGAACTACATTCGTCTATAAATGTTTCAAAAACAGTCCGATTTTTAATTTCTTATATCGCCATTAGAATTACGTACAGCTCTTCATAACGAATAAGATAGTAATATTTCAAAATATATGTATAACCCTGAAATTGGGTGCACACTTTCCTTTCAATCAACACCCTAACACCTACTATATTAGCAGGTTAACACAGGTGTTTTTATACCGAGTAAATAAACGATATACAAAGTTTATCGTGTATCTATACTATATAGTGTCAATATATTCTTATTATCATTATTTCCTAAAAAACAGAGAGTCAGTGAGTTCATGATGATAATTTGTTAAACAGTTTAGACTGTGATGATATATTAAAGGGATTGTAAAAAGGTATTACTGAACTTTTTATTTTCTATCAGAGATACTAATAGCATCAATTTACACTATTCTAATTATTTCTAATAAAAATACACGTTATGTGTCGCCACTATCTCAGACTGCTATTGATATATATTAAGGACCTTTGTGATAGTGACGTCATAAAATGCTTAGTTTTGGTGGAATAGCAGGAACCACAGGCCTCTGACTGCACTTTGGAATGGTGCAAGTTGATGCTATCAGTGTCCCCGATACACATACAAATTTAGAAAAAACTTTTTACAATCCCTTTAAAAGATATTATTAACTTGGTCTATATTGACAATGATGTACCTGTATAAATAATGGGTTTACCTGTACATATTATTAACTTATTTTAATAAAACGATACAGTACAAGTGCTAAAGTATTAAATTTTAAAGTCATCATAACGATCGTTCACCTGGATTTCAACTGCACATTTTTTACATACAAAATTATTCTATCCTTCATTAATAAAACATCCGATCTCTATCTTCCTGGTACTATATCGTATCGTATCATATCGTATCGTATCGTATCGTATCGTATCGTATCGTATCGTATCGTATCGTATCGTATCGTATCCTATCCTATCCTATCCTATCCTATCCTATCCTATCCTATCCTATCCTATCCTATCCTATCCTATCCTATCCTATCGTACCGTGTTATATCGTACCATATCGTAAAGTATTGTATCACATCGTATAGGATCGTTCTTTTAGTTCATCAACCAATCATCGTATCAATTTCACCACCAACGTCCATCCCCCATATCCCCCTCCACCCCTTTTCTATCTTCAAGTTCTGTATGCTTACTGTGTCACTCTTACATTTATATGAATTACATCTATTTGAAAAAACAACAGTTACAGATGAACGCCTTGTGTACATTGTGAATAAAAACCTTTTTTCTAGTCTATTTCTATATAATTATATTTTAATTTAAAACGAATCAGCTATGACCTGCAGCTATAAACATTATCTATTCAATATTCACAGTTGATTTTATTTAAAAATGCAGACATTGACTGAAGAAAATGCATACAACGAATAAATGAAACGCGACACGTGTGAAGTATAAGCAAAATAAAAACAAGCTCTAAAACTATTTCCTGATAAAAAATAATCAGCTCTGAAACTATTTGCTCTGATGCAGTCAACATGAGAGAAACGATCATATCGAGAGATTTATCGACGACTATCACCAGCTAATCGTCTAACTTTTCTATATATCACAGATCATTTTAAATTGACGAGTCGTCATTTTAACATTCAAACGCGGATAATTCTAGACACACATGGATTTGAAGGCTCAAATTTCGACGATGAGCTGTTAACAATATTTCTGATTGGCTAAGCTTGCTGAGACTGAAGTATGCATGAAGCACCGGTCCCGTTAAAGAAGTTTTTAAGGAATATGCGTGTGAAAAAAATGTTTTGTCTTACCTGAAACGTCTTCGACGGGGACGGAATTTCCTTTCTTTCTTTTCCCCTGCAGTTCCATCGCTTCCGTCAACATTATTATTACTATCTCCGGCACCCAGGCTGGTAGAGGGTGAATCACTCGGAACAGCTACAGAGTTGGCACATTGTTCAGTTCTACTAGACCCGCCTGAAGGGGTATTTAGCACATTATCCGATGCACGAACATTGATCACATTGCTTATAACTGCGTTCACTACAAATCCATTAGTAGGGGATTTCAGTGTTTTGGGTTCGACTCCGGTTCCAATAAATCCATTGAGTTTAGGTGGCCCTGGTTTGCTGCTAGTTGGAAGTCCAGAAATGGCGACAATACCAGTATCCATGGTCCACCAATGACCTGAAATAGGAATTGAATTAAAATGGAGTGTCGCTTCCTGGCTGATTTGAAAATCAAGGTTCTCCAGCACTAAAACATTATTCAGCAAAGGCCTACTCAGAATTGCTGTTTCTGTTCTATATACAAGACAATTCCTTACTCTAACGACATACATTGGCGTTTCTAAGAAACATTAGATGAGGGGGCCAAGCAGAGGGACACAGGCTATTCTTCCACTATATGAAAAACGGGCCAGCCTTCCCCCGCCCCTAGTAGAAACGTCACTGACGACATACTAGCACGACGTATCTGTGAGACAAGGTTTTGCTTTATTTCTAGTTGATCATTTGTACCTATAAACACAGCTGTAACTTAAAAGTGGGTTAGAAAAGAGAGGTAGGTTTACTCCATTGGCACGATTTACCTGATCTAGATTCCTAGAACATAGGTCCCGTTAGACGCAGCTGTAATGTCCGTTTGGATATTGCAGCTCTATATTAATAACAATTCGTTAATCTAATAACATACCAGCACGACGCACCTGCAAGGCGAATTTATGCTTTATTTCTAGATCGCTGGTACCTTGATTTTTACCTTAAACTGTAAACTGTTGCAGATTAACATACATGCGACTTACCTGCGAGGCGAATTTATGCTTTATTTCCTAGAACGTCGGTACCTTAAACGCAACTGTAAGCTGACAGCTCATGCCAATAACCAGATTAACATACTAGTGCGAATTACCTTACATGTGAGGCGTATTTATGCTTTATTTCTAGAACGTCGGTACCTTAAACGCAACTGTAAGCTGACAGCTCATGTCAATAACCAGATTAACATACTAGTGCGACTTACCTTACCTGCGAAGCGAATTTATGCTTTATTCCTAGAACGTCGGTTCCGTTGAACGCAGCTGTTATGTCCAGTTGGCTAACTTGCATTAGTTACTGTTACATATCATATTAATTTGTTAGACTATCAACTTACATGTGTAGCGGATCTTTATAATACAGCATAGTGTTTTCAACTATGTATCAATATGCACAATAAAGTATAATCATTTGAAAGGTTTGACATAGAAACCCTGAATAATAGTTTGAATAAAAACCAAAATGACTAAGCTTACACCCTCGTTCTATTGAAGATCTATGGTAGATTTAGTCCCCATTCATTCATTCGCCTCTCAAATCATTCAACCTGAATTACGTTTTATCAATGATATTGTCCATGAAGTAAGTTTTTCATTCAAATTAGTTTTATACAGTCAAGGGTAGCCTAATCCCATTTCGTGAAATTTTACGAAATCTTAATCATTCTAGTCTAGAAATGAAATGGATGGAGTTTTCCGTCCTGTTTTTCTGTGCCTAATTGAGCTAATGGAAGTCACTCCATGCAGGATGAAATGAGGGAAATTTTGCTAGGACAGCAGCATTAGCATACTATTTTTTCAATTTCCAAATGTCGAAGGATGTTTCATGTGTACAGCCCGAGTTTGTTTACATCGCCCTTACCCTAGTCCAAAACATGGAGTTAAAACTCCAAATTTCCCAACAGCTGTCCTGATGAAGGTTTTATATCCAAAACATGTGTCAACAATATCACATGATGAGCTCTGGATATTAGCATTGTATCCACCAGTTTTTATCTGGTTTTTGGGAACCAATGTCAAATCCTGTTCCTAAAAAGAGATAAAGGTAGCTAAAAATGAGATCGAAACCTTGAAATTAGACGACTAAATACCTTTACTTGAACTCAAAACAACTCACACCACCATTAGAAATCGTTAAAAAAGATAATCCACGAATAATCTGAATCATTTGACTGATAAACTTTAGTTTTCTTTCCGGATTTCCTCGAGATATAGAAGCTAATAATATACTTTATAAATCATCTTCACAATAATATGTTAATTTCAAAACCTAGTATTTACCTTTTTTACGGGAAGACTAGAGAACAAGATTGAAACACAGTGTTAAACATGTCCGATATCCTTTTAACTCAACTTTCAAAAGAACTTTACCAAAAAAAGTATTAAATCTATTTTTATATTCGAGATACGTGAGTTGAGAATAGACATGTGTAATACTAACATTTGAGACTGAAAATTAATTTGAATTAAATCTGCAATGTTTTGTTTAAATCGTGTGCGAATAAAAGCCAAACATCTCTTTAATTTTGTAGATTTAAAATCAACAGGGGATGCGTTTGTTTGTTTTGTTTCGTTTTGTATTAAAATAAAACTGGTTTTCATATCATTAAAGGGTGAATTGACAACATAAAAAATATATAGTGAAATGTAAACATGTATTTGTATTATATCAACCTGAGTTCAGTAGTCCTGTTGTGTCCTGCCTTCAGCTACCATCTGGCTTTGTATGACTTGTTCAGGGACGTGAGGGTTGTAGGGGGGTGTAGGTTGGACGCCAGTACGCCATGAGCTGGATTATATATACCCCACATTCAGTTAGCTGCATATTGGTAATATGTGGTTACGTCATGTTAGTCAAAAAGATCATAAAGCATCGCCTATTTCCACTTGCACCGACAGAAGACCCTTGCCAAACAAAAAAAAGTGTGTGTGTGTGGGGGGGGGGGGGGGGGTGGGGAGTTATGTGCTTGTTAATCCCTGGGGGGGGGGGGGGGGGGGGGGGGGGGCAAAAAAAAAAAAATTT